TCTCTCATTGCAACGTACGGGTATGTTTACTGTAATAATAAAGTCAGAAGGAGAAGGGCGAGGTCCAGATGGAGCTCTGCCAATTCCGCTGCTTTCATATCTCGACTGTTGCTGCTAGCTCTACTCTGCTCAACGATAAATTATGTATGGTTAGTTAATTTACTAGGTAAATTGCATAGCTCAGTAGCATGCACACATGAACGCTCAAGTTACATGTTTGGTCAGCCATTCCTTGGCAGCCTATGGCTAGGCTTCCCAGCAGATGGAGATGCTCTGGTTCAGAATCTTATAACGTGAATTATTGAATATTACGCATTGTTTTAAATCAATTTATTGAGCTAGAGACATAAAAAAATTATGCATTGTTTTAAATCAATTTATTGAGCTAGAGACCCTCCTAGGTAAATTATGGAGATGCTCTGGTTCAGAATCTTATAACGGGAATTATTGAATATTACGAATTGTTTTAAATCAGTTTATTGAGCTAGAGTCATAAAAAATGATTTTTTAGTAACAGAGAGTACGTGTTGTCCTTTTTAGGGGAAGAGAGTTTTTTTTAGGGAAGGGGAAGAGAGTACATGTTGTCTGTGTATGTGTCGATCGAGGTCCAGCTTAGGCCAAGCCCAAAAAACAGTGCAAAAAACAATTACAAATGAAATATAATTTTCCAAAAAAATGTTGATCACCATAAAAACGATTCCATTTTTTAGAAATGTTCTCAAAATTACAAAAAAAAACACCACCTCAAAAAATATATATTCATGTTTTTATGAACAATAATAAGTAAGATCGATTTAAAAACTATTCCATGTGACTACTCGTTCATCGGATGAAAGTGCGGAGCTGAAGTAGGTCTTCGGTCTTCACGTCCGAATTTTATGGTCCAAAATGCTATGCTCAATGTAATTTTATTTCCAACATTTGCCAAAATTGGATACGAGAGGTGTTGCACAATGCTATGTTTTAAATATTTTCACCCGTTGCAACGCATGGGCATTTGTACTAGTGAAGATCTGACGTCTATGAAAGACTGCTGCGGAGTCCCACACACCAGCGCCTCACGCGACGAAGCGACCGGCCGAAAAATTCGGCCGGCGTGTAGGCGTGAACCGTTTTCCTAAAGGTATTCATGTATTTCTCACGTGGCACTAGATTTCCCACAAAACCCCGCAGGTATATATGGCCAAACCCCACGATTCCGCCTACCCTCCCCGAGTGCGACGGCTACGACGCCGACGTCCTCATCGACCTGCGGTGCTACATCGCCGATCGTCCGAATGCCACCACCGCCAGGGGCGCCACGAGCACTGGCCTCCCGATCCAGGTTACCTTCCACGCCGCCTGACCGCCGCTCCTCTCCTACCTGTGCGTCCACTGCCCCGGCCTCGACTACAACCGCCGTCGTGAGCCCAGGGTCGTCGCCGCCGCTGAAGCCGACCTCGTGCTCCTTCGCGTCCCTAACAACATCAACGTCTGTGTAGTCATACAGTCCTGGGACTACTTCATGTACAGGCCACGAACCCATGTGCTGGACCTGCTCCCCAACCCGCACCCCAGGGGCTTCCACGACTCCGCGACCGCCCTCCTCAGCCGCAAAGGTGGCGCCTGGTACGCCGTCACCGCCATGAGCTATTGGTCCCCGGTGTACAAGACCGAGTGCAACTGCGACACGCCCATTATCAGTTGGGATTTCAGTGTCCACCTGTACTGCTCCTACGACTCCTAGTCCGAGGGGTGGATCACCATGCCCATGTCAGTGGACGAGCTCGTCAGGGACAAGCTCGCCCCCCTACCCGTCGAAGTGTCGGAAGAAGACAGGCCGTATCACAAGACGGACAAGACGATCACGATCGGTGATGAGCGCGGCACGGTCGCCTGGGTGGACCTCTGGCGCGGCATCCTCGTCTGCGACGTCCTCGTGGAGCCCCTAGTGATAGTGCATGACATCCCGCCAACGAAGCTGTACAACAAGGCCCTAGATTGTTAGAATTGTGTCGAATATTATTATACGAGGTAGGTTACAGTTGGACTTGGTTTTGGATTGTGTGTAGACAGGATAGGAGTTGTGTCCTAATACAACACTTGTATCCTAGGCCTCTCATATATAGCGGGGGAGACACACGATGTAACATATGCCAACATAATAGCACGGGCACGTGGGGGAGCCGGCGGCGTGTGCCGGCGCCCGGACGGCCGGGGTGCGGTATTGTAGCGGTGCCATGGGGAGGAGTGTCCGTAGTCATGCCCCGGGGATGTAGCCATATCGGTGAACCTTGTTAACAAATCTTGATGTCGTGCCTCATGTGATTGCTTGGTCCTCGGTAGATTGACGGAGCGCCTCGAATTTATTCTAACAAGTGGTATCATGAGCAAGGTTTGAGAAAGGCGCTGATTGTTGATCTAGAGGAGAGCGCGATGGAGACCGGCTGCAGATGAGCACGAAGTGCGTGCGGGACGTCGGGCAGCAATCGGAGATTGTCGTGGTGAAGAGCAATCCGAAAGCAGGCAGAATCAGCGGAAGGCAGCAGGTTATCGGCGACTTTGGTGATCGTCAGATCGGTTTCGGCCAATCGGTGGCATAACACGATGTGGCGGCTGGCGAGGGCACACAGGCAGACGACAGGAGCTGACGCAAGCGTCCTGCAGGGGTCGAGCGAATGACAAGTCAGAGCCAGGCGCGTGGCACAGGTGGCGTCCAACGTGGCCCAATCGTGGAGGAGCTAGGCTCGTTGCAGCCCGGCAACAGGCCTAGGCGAGGCTGTGTGGGTTTCTGCGCGAGAGGCCCAAGCTGAGCTGGAAGGAAGGCCGTGTGCGTGTGCGAGTTGGCTAGAGGTTGGCATGCAAGTTGTGCATCATGGCGTGGCTTGTTCGTGGGATTTGTAGTTAAAAAAAGGGATTCGTTTCCAAGAGCTGCTAGAGCGTGTTAGACCATGGGAGTTCCAATTACCATCAGGTTGATCTATAGCGTGGAAAAGTAAAGTACAAGAAGAGAGTCAAAAAGAGTCACGGGTGCTGCATGCATGAAGGTGAGCTTGTGCTTGCTGCTACATGTACGAGAAGACTAAAAGGGGACTGCTTCTGGTGTTCTTTGCATGGTACGCTAAGGTGCTGTTGTTTGACATGGCAGGCGATGGGGAAACGAGGCCGGTGATGTGCAACGTGCATGGATCATGCATACACAGGGTGTCAAGCAATGTATGGAGATGTGCGGGCGGATACGACACAGGGTGGAGCATGGTTGCAGTCGGATAATTCGGCTGGGTCGGACTGGACAGTCTGATGGATCGACGAGGATGTCGGTCAAAGCAGAAGACGGTGGTGATTTCAGTGACGACAACATAGGAGCGTGATGCTGATGGTGGCCAACTTCTGGAGCGTGGAAACACGTGGTGCAGGCCCGAGGGCTTGTGCGGCTTCGACAAGACAAGGCGCGGGGTTGATTCAAGGTGGTGTACACACGGAGCTTGAAGTCAACGGGGCGTGAGGGTGGACTGATCATCTACCATGGAGTCATGTTGAAGGTGGAGCTGGAGTCTGATGAATGACTACACTCTGTGCTGATGGAGGGGCTACGGCGTAAATGCATGGAGAGTCGAAGCCTATTTCCGCGGGATAGCGAGAGACACGTGGATCAGACTAGGGCCCAATGGTCTGATGGAGGCGTGATACTCGGCATCGATCGGTGATGATCGGTGGTTCTCTGCAGTGGGGGTTGAGTGATGTGGGTTCGCGACCTCGGAAGACTCAACCAGGACAGCAGAGGCTCGATGCGGTGATAGCGAGGAGGCGTGCGGTAAGCACGGGACACAGCGACAGGCCAAGGCACTGGTGGTCAGACAAAGTATGCAGGGGTGCTGAAGCAGTGTTGACGAGTACCAGGTTCAAGTAGGTGACTGGGTCTATTGGTGTCGGTTGATAGACGAGAGTTGACTATGGGGAATCTGAGAAAGTGGCGGAAAGTCTGAAAATGTCAAAACAGAGAGAGTACATGGCCGTATATTCTGTGGTGCTCGATGCACATGACAAAGTGGGGATGACAAGACAGAAGGAGGCGGAGTGCTATAGCTGCGGGACATGCTAGAGACTATCCGGGAAAAAAAGAATGAACAAACTGCGAATTTGACTCAAGGTGACACAGGGTGACGGTGAAATTCCTTCAAGTTTCAGACAGACAGTCAAGGAGAGCGATGATGTTGAGTTCAAGTAACTCTTATATGTGGCGTTCAATATGTGAGTTGTTCACTTTCACACAGACAGTGGTCGGTGTGTGATGACGTTGGACGGATACTCTGGAAGTTGGGAGCACGGACTAGAGTAACAAGAAACTTAATTTTGCTAGAGTGTTGAGTGTGGTTAAGAAAAGGAGTGATTACAAGTTGCAGGTGGAGTCACATGGAGGCTGGGAGTAGCAGCGGTGCTCATGGCGTATCTCAAGTCCAATGTACATGAAGGTTCGACGCATGGATGAATTCAAGGTGGTGAAGAATATTCGCTAAGATGGAGTTTGTTAGAATTGTGTCGAATATTATTGTACAAGGTAGGTTACAATTGGACTTGGTTTTGTATTGTGTGTAGACAGGATAGGAGTTGTGTCCTAATAGGACACTTGTATCCTAGGCCTTTCTTATATGGCGGGGGTAGACACACGATGTAACCTATAACAACAGAATAGCACGGGCACGCGGGGGAGGCGGCGACGTGTGCCGGCGATCGGAGTGCGGTATTATAGCAGTATCATGGGAAGAAGCGCTCATTATACGTCAACACTTCCCCTCATGTGTAGCTTTCTCAGACCTAAACGTGGACCGAAAGTGGGCTGCAATATAATTGCGCCGGTCGGATCTTGAACTCAAGACATCTTGACTTTGATACCATGTAGAAGTGCATGCTCTAACCAATGCAATCAAAAGACCGATCTGACGGAAAAGACTAGACACCACATTATACGTCAATACAGTCTCTGACAACCTGACTGTCAACTTTCAAGCAAAGATGTCACCATGGATTCCGGCGGCGTTCCAGGTCATCGCGACCTGCTGTCTAAGCTGAGCAGCAGCGGCAGCGACACGACGCCAGCGTTGCCAAAACTTCAGATGGCGTTCCCCACCATAAGCATAGACGACGACGATATTGTCTACATGGCTTCTAGCACCAAACACGGGATCATGGAAAACATGGAGTTCATGATTGCTATCGATGTGAGGAACAAAACCTTGCGAGGAGTAGCTCAACTTGATGTCAAGAAGCACTTCGTTTTCTTTCCCAACTTCTACACCGGTGAGATCTGCAGATATCTGAGCAAGAGTGCAGGTAATTAATTAACTTCTGTGTACTGCTGCTACTCGCTTTTGCTGGATATTTTTGTGACTGACTATCAGTATGAATATTCAGTTCTGTATCAGCTGTTTCAACAAATCCTGTTAATCCAATAGAAATACGTTGCTGAATCTGTCTTGTGCTTGTGCGCCCAACCATTCTTGTATAATTGTGTACAGTTAAGCGTTGTGGAAATTAATAGATGATGACTCACAAGTCCACATCTCTAAGTTTCCTTCAATGTTGGCGGTGAAGTTCTGCAAGTTGAGAGAAGCTATACATTATTGCATTTAGGATATAGTACCACTGTATATGCTTGTAATGTTAGCTAGAGGATAAACAGCCAAGAAACTGTGTTCGACCTGTTCCTGGCAATGGCATGGCCAGAGAAAGTATTGAAGTTGTGTTTAACAAGAAATTAAGAAATTTCACCAAAGTCAGCCTGGATAAGTCATTCTATTCTAGCTGCAGGTTTCTGCTTGTCTTATTTTCGTGCTAATAACTGGCAACATGGGTACTTTTCTCGTCGATGGAAAAGATAAATCAGTTACTGCTCCTAACCATTTTCTTACTAACATGAGCTATACGTATATGTACTCTTTGACGCAGGGGCACCAGTACAGCTCAAACGAACTGAAAGGGAAGCTGCTAAAGCCAACTGAAAAAGAGCCTGTTAAGTTAACTGACAAAAAGGAGGGTAAACATACCAGGGTGCACGGGGACAAACAGACCGGCAGAACAAGGCTGCCGGTGAACAAGAGAGTAATGAAGACCTTGGAGCAGCTACGAGCGATTAACTGGAGCTGCCCGAGGCGACTTGGTGAGCAGATGAAGGACGCGGACAATGGCGATCAAGGAGCTTGTTGAATTGATCTGTGAGAATTATGCCAAAAATGATTTTCTGGATTGATTTGTGTGGAACTTGTGTAGGCTCAGCTCCATTCGGTTTTATTTCTGTGGCCAATGCTTGTCCGTGCTTGTGGTTTGATTCCGGTATTTTCTTGCTTCGCTCGTAATATATTTGTTATTAGTCGGAGCCAAAAGTCCAACCAAAATTCTTTAGCTGAGCTGTTGAACAATTCTGTTTAACTGCCCGAGTCCAGGTTTCTAGCATTGGAAGCATATCATTCAACTATTCAAGGGCCCTGTTTGGGAGCATTGTAAAGTTTTACTGGCTTCAGCAGCACAGTGGATACAGAGCACTGAACACAAATTCTAACGATTTTAAGTGAATGATGGCCTTCGTCGAAAAAACTGACAGTGAGAACTGCACTGAACACAAACTGCAATTTTCAGTAACCACATTGCATATTTCTCAAGATTCTGTGATTATGCCATGATCATTCAACTTATTTCATACTCCCTCCGTTCCAAATTACTCGTCATGGTTTTAGTTCAAAATTTGAACTAAAACTCGTCGTGGTTTTAGTTCAAAATTTGAACTAAAACCACGACGAGTAATTTGGAACGGAAGGAGTACAACACAATCATTGTATTTGTATACTCCATCCGTTCCAAATTACTCGTCGCAGAAATGGATGTATCTAGAACTAAAATACATCTAGATACATCCATACTTGCGACAAGTAATTCAGAATGGAGAGAGTACATCATAAGATTTTCTTTTTTAGGATGAGCCACACGACCTCTGAAGTTTGGACTGCAACTGGGCAGCTCACGAATGGCGGACCTGGAAATTTAATGAAACCTGAACAAAGCGAGTGCCATTTCCACTATCTGCATGGCCATAAATTTGCACCCGAGCTGCTCGGACAGGAGGAACATTAGGAATGTCGGATTCTTCCAGGCGAATCAGAGCAGATCGATATTCATCATAGACTCTTCAGTCGATCGTCGCACCCTTAATCAATTTCAGAGAATTTAGCGGGGTACCTCCTAGCTTCATGTCCTTCATCATCAGTGGAATGGCAAGATCACGACGACGCTGCTGCTCCATGCCCCGGTGGTAGAACACGGTGGCGGCCACCGTGGAGTAGAGCTGCACACCGGCGGACGGCAGAAGGAACCCGTACAGGCTGCCCAGCAAAAGCACGCACCCGCCCTGCCCGCAGTCCAGAGCAAACGCGTACACCGGGTAGGTGGCCAGTGGCAGCACGACGCTCACCACGAGCACCTGCAGGGCGGCCTCCTTCCAGCTCGCGGCCGCGGTCATGAGCCGCCACGCGCGCTGGAGATGAGCGGCCGCGCTCGCGCCGCCACCACCGTCGCCGCCTTCCTCTGCCGCCGCCGTCGCCGACGCGGCGATGGCGACCGGGAAGACCGCGGCGAGGAAGAGGCGGAGGAGGAGCGTGGCGAGGAAGACGAACAGCAGGACGCCCTGCACGAACGACTCCACGCCGCCGGTGTCCGAGTGGCTCCAGCTGTACCTGTACCAGGAGTCGAGGTAGTACGCCGGGACGGCCGTCGACGCGAGCTCCGCGGCGGCGACCAGCGCGGCGCAGGCGAAGATGCCGCGTGGCCGGGGGGTGCCGCGCACGAGCTCGGCGAGCGAGCGCGGCCGGTCGCCGCGGAGCGTGGCGCAGGCGGCGAGCGCGACGGCGGCCTGCGTGGCGAGCTTGCTGGCGAGGTACGCTAGGTGGAGGACGAGCAGCGCCGCTGGGTGCAACCAGATCGTGGGGCCCGACAGGGCGTACTCGTGGGCGAAGTGGACGGCGACGGCGAGGAAGAGGAAGGTGTGGGCGAGGACGAGCGCCAAGACCGGCGCGAAGAGCCTGACGTTCCGGGTGGGGAGGATCAGGGAGTCCGCGACGAAGCCGGCGCACGGAGAGAGAGACGGACCTCCACCTCCCGGGCCTGCCGGTGCGGCGACCATGGTGGGACGAACTGGTCTGGTTACTAGCTAGCTAGGGGGTTTGGCTGCTGAGAGTGTGCGCTTGTGGCTTGTCGATGGTCGAGAGGCGGGTGGTCACCGGAGAAGAAGATTCTCATGAGACGACTTGGGATGGAATTGGTCAGTCAACTGAGTGGGCGGAGGAAATTATGTTGCGGTATGCCGTGCTGTTTGGTTTCTTCGCGAGCGGAGCGGTCGAGGCATCTGCTCATCATTTTCTTCTCCTTCCTTGTCCTTTTCCGCGGCATGACGCCATGGCTTATTCGGGTCGATGGTCATCATCCGTGCCTCTAGTTTCCTTTTTGTCTCCGTTTGGATGGAACCTCGAGCAATTCTGTTGCACGTTGGAGGCCGGAGGTTGAGAGTTCTTAATGGAGTCAATTACATCACATGTGCCTAAACTTGAAAAGAAAAATCAGTTTGGTGCTAAAACTTACGGCATAGTACATCGAATCGGTGACAAAATTTGGCTTGAGCGTGCATCTACGGTGTTAACCACGCTTGTATATGTACATCGTGTTGATGTGGCGAGCCAGCATGATGCAGGGCCCACCCATCAGGGAGGCAGTGACCAGGGCATGTGACCTGTTTTTTTGCGACCCCCCCCCCCTTTTAAATTTTATTTTTCTCACAAATAATCGCCTCAAATTGTTTTTTGAACATAAATTTAGAAACATGGGGACATTTTTTGCGATTTGGAACAAAATGTTGCAAACGCGAACATTTTTTCAAATTCCTAAACACTTTTTGAAACACGAACATTTTCTTAAGTTGTGAACAATAATTTGAAAACCAGAACTTTTTTGAAATTCCTAGACATTTTATGAAACAAAAAACATTTAATGAAAATTCTGAACATATTTTCAAGAGAAGAACATTTTTTGAAATCGTTGAACATTTTTTTGAAACACGAACATATTATGAAATCATGAACAAATATTGAAACAAAAATTCTTTTATAAAATCATGAACAAATTTAGAAAATAATAATATTTTATGAAATCTCTGATCATTTTTTAAAATCCTGAAAATAATTGGAAAATGAGAACAATTTTTGAAACAAAAACATTTTATTAAATTATAAACACATTTTGAAAGCAAGAACATTTTTGCAGTTCCTGAACATTTTATGAGACATGAACATTTAAAAAAATTGTGAACACAATTTTGAACATGATAACATTTTTTGAAATTCAGAACAAAAATTTGAAAATATCAAACAAAAGCAACAGAAACAAAAGTAAAAATTAAAAAAATAGAAACGAAAAAGGAAAAGAAAACAAACAGAAACAGTAACAGAGACAAAAAAGAATATGAAAAAAAGGAAAACCGGTTCCAAAAACCAATAAAAAACACTGGGAACCCTCTAAAAGATTCCCAAAACCGAAAGCTTCTACCGACTACAAATGGGCCGGCCCATTAACTTGCTCGGTTGCCTCTCTGTGTGTTTGCTCAACAATTTGACGCAATGTGCGTTAAATAGGAATTTCCAAGGTTGGAAGACAAAACCTTAGGGACTCTGGCCGGTCGGGCAGCCAACAGCTTATATACAATTTGACGCTCCATTTGGATAGCTAGCATAATGTCCTATAGCCGAGTGGACGAGACTTGCCTGCTTCCCGCGTGTGCGCCAATTCGTGCTCGCGCGTATGTGGCTTGATTTGATTGAAACAAAATAAGGCCCGGCCTCACCTCCTTAAAATCAGGGGGTGATTAGATTAAAAGAAAAAAAAGAAAAAAGACAACCGTAGGATAAAGTGAGAGCATGGATGGGAGCATGGGGAGGGAGCGGGCAAGCCGGATCCTAGCCGAGCATGCACATAAGTCTTAAATGGGCTGGTGTCACCGTAGTCCATTTTTCACATGTTAGTTTCCCCCCTTACTTAGAATTATATTCCACCAAAAAAAACTTAAAATTGTATACAAATATTTAAATGACAAACATAAAAATTAAATAAGTTATTTAAAATAATGTTCACATAATTATAAGTAGTATTCTTATTTATAATAATGACAAACATAATATTATACATTATGCAAAATTTAAAATCAGATCCATTCATGGTGGTCTTGTCTTATTGTTCACACTCTAGAGAAGATAGATAATAACTTGTTTGCTAATTCTTTTTTCGATTTTGTTGTTGATATGTTGAGGGTTTTCACACATCTAACCTTGAACCAATTCATCTATATTTTTTATAGGGACTTGATCTCGCGAAAGCACGGGTGACCATGCTTTGCCGCCACAAGTCCCTCCACATTGTGCTGCCCGCAAATATATCTCGGAGAATTCGCCGATCAAACATGTGTTTATGTTGTGATGAACTGTAGACTTTTGCTGACCAAACATTTTATATTTTTCATTTGGACCGTGGGATGTGTCACGTTTTTCATTTGGACTGTGTCATGTATGCATGTACCATTTTCATTTGAACCTTTAATAGTACTTATAACTGATTATACGAGCATATTTGTTATTTTGTGTAATTTAGTTGTACCTTTTTTGCAACTACATTTCTTCTTTAAAATTTTAAAGTTGTAAAAATTACATTTTTAGTTATTGTATAGTACTTTTGCAAACCCTGTGTACCAATCCATGTGTACCAAATAGTAGGGGTATGTCAGGGGTTTGGGGATTGGTGGGATTTGAGAGGATTGGGTTGAAGGAACGTTTTCATGAAATCCACTGAAATCCTCTCCTCCCTAAACCTTCCCAATCCAGGAATCCATTTTGTCGTACATTACGCCAACTAAGTGATGTCTTATGCTACAAGTAACTCATAGTAGGTTTAAACACATTTGAGACAGGGACGAATGAAAATAATTATTTTTTATATCAAACTTTTATACTTATTTCAACATGTTTTTAGCAGATTACAATATGTAATGAGGATATTTTCTATTATTTAGCTATCATAATTAATCATATAACAATATTGTAAAATAATAATTGTAGTACTTTTGCTATCAATTTTAATGTATATCAATGCTTCCTTCTAATTAAATTATGTATTGTGATAAAGTTATCACTGAATTATTTTTTGGTAAAACATAAATTAAATAGTGCACACGTATATATTTGTGTACGCGCATGTGTAAATGTAATACCATGATAGAGATCTCTAAAGTGTAATGTCTATTTAATTTTATAATAATGATTTCTAGTGTATTATTAGGTAAGCAAATTTATAGAACCATCTAGTCTAGGGTATATATAAAGTGAACTATTTGCACATGTGCCGCAAGCTAGGTTCAGTAATTAGTTCACAACATGAGCATGCTCTCAGACTGAGCATACCTCGTATGGTTATGTTTCTTGTAGTGGAACATGGCCACCACAATATTCTTTTAGTAGGAGAGAAGTTGTCGTCACAACGAGACGCTTCTAGTGATTTCGCCAATCTCAAGATTTGTTAGAAACAATACAATTTTGCATATATACAATATTAGATATGCTTGTTTCGATGCTTGGTTTAATCAGTGTATACATGAATTTCTAATTTCTAAATAAAAAGCTTCGCACAAAATTATGCATGATCTGTAGAGGAGAGAGACTTACAGGATAACTAAACTCAATGTCACTTATCAGATTTTTTCTAAATAAGGCAAAATATTTGCCCATTTCGTTAATTAAAAAGGGAGAATTGACCGCTTAATTAGCAGAAAACCGTTAGAAACCACCTTCATTGTTGTCCTGGAGCACAACAACAAATAAGGACTTCGTACGGCTACCTGACTACGTACACGCATGGCACAAAGTTGCTGAGAAGAAGACATCCATTGAGTGTGCCTTCAAGAGTCATTGTTACCACTCATCCCGTTGCCCAAGGCTTGAATAGTTGGCCAACATCAATGGGAGACAACTCTGACTTTAAGGACGAGCTTTACAAGAGAAAGATGTAGAAATTGTGCCGATCAAACCTCTGTGAATGAGTACCAAGAGCATGTCATTGTCACCGCCCACCTATCAGGTTGGTTCATTCAGATGCGGTACTTGTTATTGGTTCATGATGTAGACTTGCACCTTCAAATTTAGGATTCTATTTTTTTATATATGATAGTATTTTTGACTTATTCGATAATTGTATAGTGGCTACTACTATAATATGATATCTTGGCACTCCCTCTTATTGGGACGCAGTGCGATCGCCCTCTTTGCCCGACCAATGGGCCAACCCTGGCCACCTGGTAACTCCCAAAAGTTAGTGGACACTTTCCTAATCTCATGAGATTTTATATGGTATTGGAGCTAACTCGACACTTCCCATCCATGATGACTGTAGACTCCTCCTCCACACTTTAGGCTCCCCCTCCTTGAAAGTGCGTTATATCGACTAGAGGGGGGGGGGGGTGAATAGGCAATTTTTATGAAAGTCTTCAAAACATGGAAGTTTCGAAGACAAACGATAGAAATAAACCTATTACCATGCAGCGGAAGGTAGACTACACTAGGTAAACCATAGTCATGTATTCAATGAAGTGAAAGCACAATGACTAATAGCAGCTAGGTAGTGAGGGTCAGGTAGGAAGATATTAAGAAGCCAAACAAATCACACAGTCACTCAGTGAAGACAAAAGATAGTGCAGACATACAATGACTTCACAAGGAGTAACAGTAAGTAAGGAGAAAGGAAGGATGAAACCAGTGACTCGTTGAAGACAATGATTTGTTGGACCAGTTCCAGTTGCTGTGACAACTATACGTCTGGTTAGGGCGGCTAGGTATTTAAACCTAAGGACACACAGTCCCGGATACCCAGTCCTGAACACGCAGCTCAGGACACCCAGTCCTCACCGTATTCCCCTTGAGCTAAGGTCACACAGACCTCGCCCAATCACTCTTGTAAGTCTTCAAGGGAGACTCACAAACCTTCACAGACTTCGTTCACCGGTGATCCACAATGTCTCTTGGATGCTCAGAACGCGATGCCTAACCGGCTGGAGGATGCACAGTCCTCAAGTGTAATAAGTCTTCAGATCAC